TAAAAAAATAATATGCAAGGTGCATTAGTTTTTTTGTACCGATATTCCTCTTTTTTTTTACTTTAAAATAATTGAAATTTCTGTGTCACTTTGTGATAAATAGGATGTCCATTATGCTTGATCATACAGTATTTTTTTGAATTTGTCTAAAAGTTCTAAAAGTTTTCTGAAGGGCACCATGGCTGCAATGACAAAGCAGACACCAGCCAGTTACTCAGCAGAGCATTCAGCAAGTTCTGATTCACTTCATTACAATCCACATATGCAGAAAGGAATGAAATGTCATGAGTGTTATTATTATTATTCACGTATTGGGATCAGAAATGATAAAATCCAAAATGGGATAATTATTCATGGGGTTTTTTTCTTTTTATTTTGCTAGAGAAATGTATTGACAAATTTTTTTTCAACAAAATTAATCTTTTAGACAAGATGTCCCCAAACACATTCTTTTTATACAACTTATTGAGGGTGAGCATCATCACGTTTTACACAAATCAGGATTGGAGATTAGATTTTTATTTTTATTTTGTTTTCCAAATCAGTAAAACAATAAGATATCGATTGATTGATCACAAAAAAAAATAATCTATATTAAAAAAAAATTTTTTACTTCAGCAAGCCAAAAACATTGATCATTCATCATCGCTGTATGCCTCATTGTTTGATCAGTGATCAAGATCAAGGTTTTCTTCTTCATTGTTGGAACACATCCTTTCCCCTTTCTGTTAACTTGATCCATTGTCATTTGTAAGGCTTTTGCTCTTGTGACAGGCCTGCTTGGTGGACTCAGCTCCGTGCAAACTTTCTTGTGAGATTCATTGTCATCAACCACCACTACTTGTCTTTTATTATTTTCTACAGTGTTGGTGGCGGCTGATGTTGAGGTCAATGGTGATGTGGATGATGATGCAAACAATTATGATGATGATGCATTGTTGACTTTGCTCCTATTGTTTGACTTCTTGCCTACATACTTCTCCTCTATGCTCAGAAACTTTTGCCTACGCATGCTTTTTCCAGGCAAAACCTGTTCATTCTTCACTTTTGGAAATACCCAATCAACATCAGTGCAAATTATTTGTGCAAGGTTCTTGCCTATGAACAATTCTCCAGCAGCGCTAAATATTGGTGCCTTTTTTGATGCTTCCACAATTGCAGCAAATCTTGGGTTTGAGGTGTCATAGACACAAGGGATCTCAACGTCTTTGCTTGAGGAAGTGAACGTATTGTAGATTTTCTTTCCCAGAACAAAAAAATTACACTCGTCATCAGTGGCCACTGCTTCTGTAACACACAGAGCACAAAATGAAGCAAACAATGGGGTAATTGGGAGGTCATGGACTCCAGGTTCCTCACAAATTGTTTTTAGGTCAAGATCTACCGCCTTTAACACAATTACCTGCAAAAATATTTATTGTCAAGTTAGTTTAGGCATAAAGGAACAAAACACTTCCTTCACACACACACAGCATAAATATATTTACATATAGTTGACCAGAAATGAACAGAAACTTGCCCACAATGGATATTATTCAGTGTTTTTCTATTTGATGGACCAGGTTGTTGTCAGTGGAGTTCATTCTAAATGCTTTGTAATTGACCTCCACATACTCTTGTTCATCCACACGGCATACAGCCACCCCAGTCACTGTATGTGATCCACTGGCTGACTTGATGAACATTGTGTGGTGTTATAAAAAGAATTTTTAGAGCTAATTTTTGGATCCAATTATCTTTTTGTTCAATCATGTTCCACCAACTTTCTATAGTATGTAAATCATGTACAAATTCAAATTCATATGGTTTTGTATAGTTTTTATATGCTGAAAGTTGGGCAACTAATTGGCTAGCTGAATTTTTACCTCCACCCATTTCAATCCAGAAATTAATTGCTGTATGACATATGCCTAAAAATGTCAATTTTAAGGCCTTTTCCTATGAAAAAGATAGTATTGATTATGTCACTATTAAGGAAAAAATGAATAAATAAATTTTTTAAATATCTTACCTCTATAAAATGGGTGAAAAAAATAGCCAAGTAAATAAATTTTAAAATCAAATTGCTTCCACCTTTTATTGAATTTTTCAATACAAAATGAACAAAAGGAGTGATACTATGGTTGGATAGTTTTTCACAGCCATCCCAAGTTTTATTAAATGAATAAAACAATCTGTTAATGATGCGGTCTTAAACTCTGATGAAATTATTGTCTCTTTAATTGGTTCAATTATTTTGATAAGTTCCTCAACATCAACATCTTGAAAAAAGATTTATTTCCAAGTAGATTTTTAATAGAATTACTTAAAATTTCAGGGTTTTTTCCAAGATCTAAAAATAAAAAAAGAATTATTATTATGGTGAATTTATTGAAATTAAGAAGAAAACTTTATCATACATTGTGTAAAGAACTTTCATATCTTTGGATTGATGCAAGACAGTGGTCCATTCTAGTCTTGGAAAATCCCTTGAGACCACCACCTGCAATACAGTCAGGGATATTTCCATAGATGGAAATACTAAATACCGTAATGATCGATTGTATGAAAAATTCTAGAAGAA